GTCTCTCACTCTACTGATTTTCCATATTGTTGGGGATTTATACTGGGTAGTAAGTTTCACTCTTACTGAGAATTAACAAGTTTCTCAAAAGAGGAAAGAGATGATACATGATTAAAGAACCTAATCTAAACTAAGTGATTCATCTACTGGTTTGTGAAAACCCTGAATGCTGGGCTTGGATGTTAGCCGTTCATCTAAATGTCTATTTTAACCGAAACTCCAATGAAGAGAAATTAAGCAATAATGAGTATTAGCTATCTTTTTCATTCTGGAAGACAATATCTTTTAAACATCATTTTTTTATGATGTTTTATTAAACATTTTTTTTTATAGTTGAATTTGTAGTGTACACTCTCGTGTGAAGGTCTAGGGGTGCCCTTCACTGTGTAACAGGAAAATCCATCATCAAACATTTCTAAACTTGTCTCCAAGGGTTGTGTATGCAAATGATGATATTATTACCAGGGTCACTTAACTTGGTTCTCTCATCCCTTCACTAGTAGGATTATTCCTGGTGATAAGAAACATACCTTTAATCTTCCAAGGTGGGCTTTTCTAATCTATAAGCTTCAAGATCCTTAAATATTTCCCTCTCAACCCTCTCCATAAAAGTGTCCTTAAAGAGTTAACAGCCTGTCTGGCACGACTTATTTTTATTAGTAGTATAGAAAATAAATATTGCTTTGCTTTTTTTCTTTACATATTTCATTACACATTTTCTTTACATTACATACACTCTTCTTTTGGCTAGATAAAATAAAAATGAAAATCTCACATTCCAATTCCCCAAGCTTATTTACTAGAGATAACCACTATTAGAAGTGCTGTAATTTAGAATTTTATCAACACTTAGTGTATTAGTCTGAGTGGGCTAAATTATGGTCAGAAATAGAATTGAAAATGTCTAATAGCCCTAAGGTAACAGAAGTTTATTTCTTTTCTTTTTTATTGAGGTAGTATAGATTTGCATCCTTATATTTGTGTTTTCAAGGTACAGGATCTCCCCTTCAGGCGTTGTTAAACACCACACCCACCACCCAAGCACCCAAAGTCCATTGTTCTCCCTTCCCTCTTTGTTCTCACTCCCTCCCCCTACTCCTCAGGTAGCCTTAGTTCTCAGCTATTAGTTCTTGCTGGAGGAACAATATTGTGATGGGGGTGGGGGAGTGATATGCCCGTAGCAACCACTCCACGACTTATTTTTATTAAGTCCAGGGTGGGAACTACTAAGCTACTGCCATCTCAGCTCTTAGACCCTCTGGAGGACATCTCTATTCCTACCTACTGCCTGCAATTACAAACAGGTTTCTTTGTACTCAGCATATGCTTCCTCCAAGCACATTCCTCACAGCCTAGCTAGTTTCCTGCACAACTGCTATACTCAAAATTGTGTGATTCAAATCACACTCCCTGGCAGACTTGAAACTCATTCAGATTTCCACTCTTCTCATAAAAGACTCATTGGTCCTTATCTCTATCCATCCTTGCTTTCCTGGAAAGGTTACATCACCTGCATTCACTCCTTACAATTACTGTACCCATTTGACTAAACTACTACCAGCCACACCCAACCTCTTTGCTTCGCTAGAGGTATTTCTTCCAGCTTTTCAAGCTGGTAATTGACATGCAACATCATGTACGTGTAAGATGTACCGTGTTGATTTGATACAGCTTAAATAGTGCAAAAGGATTACCATCACAGCACTAGCAAATATTTTTCTTCCATCACAAAATTACCATTTCTTTTTTGTAGTGAGAACAATTAAGATCTACTCTCTCAGTGACTTTCACATATATAGTACAGTATTGTCATATATAATCACTATACTTTACATTAGGTCTCCTGAATTTGTTAATCGTATACTGGCGTTTTGTACCCTTTGGTTAATTCAAATTCTTCTTTTCCCCAACTCTTAATCCCTGGTGACCTTCACTCTACTTTCTAGTTCTCTGATTTTAGCTATATTAGATTCCACATATTTACCTCTCTCAATAGCATTTTTCTTAAATTCATTCTAAGTGTTGAACTGTCATCTTACCTCAAAAAGTGATTTCCTTTCCTTGGTGTTCTCTTGTGGCATTCCTTGTCCCTGTTTCACTTTTTCCTCTTACATTCCTGGCTCCCATCCCCCAAAACCTATCTCTTCTTTTGTTTCTCTCTCCTCTCCATACAGCCCCTCCTACCTCTTCCTGTTCTCATAGCCCCATGTAAGGTGCAGCCAATATCAGTGTTTAATTGCACTTTAATTCTTAACCTCTAAAGCTAACTCAGTCAGGCAGCACTCCATTTCACTGTGACATTCTCTTAGGTCATGACCAAGTCTACTTGTTCAGTAGACTCCTATGAGTTACAAACAACCTAAGTGCCTGTGGCAAGTGACTACATCAAGCAGATACGCTAATTTAACACAGTAGAATACTACTCAGCCATAAAAACCACAGGAATAGACCTCAATGGTATTATGCTAAATGAAATAAGTCAGATAGAGAAAAACACTGTACGATTTCACTCATGCCGAAGTTAAAGAAATAAAACTAATAACCAAACCAAACAAAAATAGACTATAAAAATAAAACAGCAGTTACCAGAAGGGAAAAAGGAGTAAGTCAGGTAAAAGGGGTCAATTATGTGGAGGAGGCTGGAAAATAGACTTTTGGTGGCAAACTATATACAGATGTTGATTCATAATGCTGTGCACCTTGAAATGTATGTAAGATTATCAAACAAATATTACTTCAATAACCAAAACCTTAACACAATTTTTTTTAAGTTTTTAAATTACATTCTCATACAGAACAATTTTTCATGCTACAAACCATATTCAATTTACAAACTCTCCTAGATAATATTTGATTATTTCTGCAGTAGTTGGAACCCTGCTTCCCACGTGAAAAGTTCTGGCAAGTTTACTGCTCACCACTCAGAGAGAGGGCTCCACCGAAACAATGAAATGTTTTTGGAATATCAGAAAACACTGAATAATAAAAATTGCTTCTGCTGGGGGGAAAATGTGGAGGTATCACCCTTCTTGACTTCATACTATGCTACAAAGTGATAGTAATTAAAACAATTTGGAATTGAAATAAAAACAGGCACACAAATTAATGGAATAGAATTGAGAGTTAAGACATGAAACGTATGATTAACTAATTTATGACAAAGGAATCAAGAGTATGCTGTGGATAAAGAAAAGTCCTTTTATATGGTCTGGACCGTCATATGCAAAATAATGAAGCTAAACCACTATTTCACATCATACACAAAAACTAACTCAAAATGGATTAAAAATAAGAAATGATAAAATGCATGAAGAAAACATGGACCACACACTATCCTTGACATCAGCCTTAGAGATGTTTTTGGGGATTCATCTCTAATGGCAAGGGAAACAAAAGCAAAAAGTAAAGAAATGGGATTATGTTGAACTAAAAGCTTCTTCAAAGAAGGAAACAAATAAAAACAAGAAGACATTTTACTGAATAAGAAGATATTTGTATAGAATACACCTGACAAGATGCTAATATCCAAAATATTCAAAGAATTTTTTTTTTAATTTGTACAATGGAACCTCTCTGGTGGTTCATGGGTTAAAGTCTCAGCACTATGAAGCTATCACCAGCCACTTTCGCATCAGTTCAATCCCTGGCCAGTGAAGTGACCCACATGGTGTGGCAGACCTCTCCTGACCCGCCCGCTGCTGCCCTCAGCAGTATACTTCGTCAATCTGCTTGTTCTGCTCCCCACTCTGTCTCTGGTGAATCCCCTCACCCCCCGCCTCTGCACCTCTGGCCTGTACCCCAGTTCTGTATGTATAAATAAATAGCTCTTTAAAAAAAAAGAAAGAAAGAAAGAAAAGAAACAAGTGTGGGCAAGGATGTGGAGAGAAGGGAAACTGTACACTGTTTGGGGGGATGTAAATTGATATAACCCATTAAGGAAAGCTCAAAAATTAAAAACAAAAAGTCCATATCATCCAATTACCCACTTCTTGAAATTACCCCAATGTACAAAACCACTAATTTGAAGAGACATATACACCCCATGTTTACCACACTCCTATTTACAATAGTCAAGAACTGGAAATAACCTAAGTGCCCATCCATTGGTGAACAGATAAAGATGTGATGTAAATACACAATGGAATACTATTCCGCTATTTTTAAAAATTAAATCCTTCCATTTTCAACAATATGGATGGACCTAGAGAAAATTATGCTTAGTGAAATAAAACAGACAGAAAAACACTGTGATTTCATTCATATGTGATAGAGAGAGAAAACAGAGATAAAACAAAAATAGAATTATGGATTATGAGATCAATTCATGGTTACCAAGAAAGAAGAGGAGAGACTAGAACAAGGAATAGGGTATAACGGTATAGAAGGACAGATTTAGACTTTCAGTGGTGATCTTAGTTAACATGTTCACAAGTTGATTGTCAACAATTCTGTTGTTGAGACTTGTATTATAATTGAAATTACTGCAATTAAAAATAAAATGTTAAGCTATTTAAACCAAACTATATATGTTCAACACACCTAATTTTACTAGAAAAGAGTATTCAAGCCCATTTCTAATTTCATTAGTGTTAATTACACACTGTGATTAGCATGTATATTTAAAAAAATACATGCTAAAGTTTTAAGTTACTAACTTCAGAAAATAAACCCAAGTGAACTGTTAAGATTCACTACATCTGAAAAAGCAATGGACAGAGGAATCTTATTACCCTTATTGCACACTATTATCCATCATTAATCCACTCAACCTCCCAGTCAACAGCCAGGATGTTTGCTCCTAATAAAGATCTGTCCTCAGCAAACCACCACAGAGGTTTTTCTTTTAAATATAAAAAGAATAAGAAAAGGTTCTATAACTATAATTTTGAAAAAGTCCATCCATAAATTCTCATGACCATTTATGAGATCTGCTTTATGTTGTCTTATCTTTGATAAGAAATGAATGTATTATGGTGAATGTGTTCATTATAATTTCACAGAGAGATTCGGAATACTAGGAGCTTAACTTACATAGAAGCTGGTGCGCTGAAAGAGCTCCCCCTTCTAAAGTTCCTGTAAGTATTAACCATTCTCCCATCTGAACCTTTTCATGTAAAAGAGAATTATAATGCTATCTGTCAGGAGTCAAAGTGTCTGCCGGGTTGTACTAGAAACCAGAGCAGGACATCACAGCCTGTGGCTGACTCCCTACCCTCCCCCTGCAGCAAGGGATCAGATGAAATTCAGCACCCTTGAAAGCCCATTCAAAGGTCAGCACATAGAACCAGAGACCTGCTCTGAGAGACAGGAGCGAGGAAACATCATCATGTCTATCTAGTCTTGAAATGGAGTAAACAGAACGAAGCAAAAAAAATGGAGCATTCACTGGTCAATTCTATTGAAATGGGTGTTACAACAATATTAGAATAACTGAGACACAGGAAAAGGCCAGGAAGAATAAAATCTAATCTCATGGAGGCTAACGGGACTAAAACCGAAGAGACAGTCCTTACCACTCTGTTCTGGTGACACCGAGTGACCTAACCAATACCCTCTATGAGAGCAGGGACTGTGCCTACCTGTCTGCATCTTTGTTGTTTAGCACCAAAATGCTCAAGACAACTGTGTTTGGTGCAGATGTATGTATGGACTCAGATTGTCTAGGCATTACATGGAAGTGCTTCCCTATTCCCCACTATCTTACTTACTTGCATTTTAAAAAATTAGGAAAAGATCATTCATTTTTAGGAAAAACAAACCCAAACATCAGTTTTCATTCCAATACCCAGAAATAAGCAGTATTAATATATTGTTTTATTTCCACCCAAGTTTTTTAAATACAAATAGGTATTTCATATTTTTTTTTAAGAAATAAATCAGTAATGATGACTAGAAGTTATCCTGGAAGAGAAATGAGGAATAGAAAAGAAATACTGGTGAATGGAATACAATAGATACATGGAATCACAAGGTTTATTTATTTTTATTGTTAAGTGTGGGTGATGGGTGGTACCAGGCGTAGAGGAGGATATTGATGGAGTCTGTGGCTGAAGGGTTATCTGGAGGTCCAGGAAAACTTATGGGACGAGCTATAAGTCACTCCCATGTGGACTTGTGAGTTTCAATAAATCATTGGTTAGTATGATGGCCTCCTACTAGGTGCGAGACTGTAGAACACAGATTTTAAAATATTGTGCTTGTCTTCAAGAAGTTTACAATCTACTTTGGGAATTTATTGTATATGAAACTGAAAAGTTCCTCTCCTCCAGGAAAGTATTGGAAAGTGACAAATGAAAGGTATTTTATGCTGTTTCAGGTAAATAGAGGAGACATCAAAAATGAGATGAACTTGTTGTTTTAAACATCAGAGAGATTCTTGTTCCTAATATAGAATTTCCAGCTCTCCCCTCTATGGCCCCACTCAACTCTTGGATGTTCCCAAACCCACTCCTACCAACTCACTCCTACTCTTCCATATGAAGACCTGTTACAATTGAACTAATTTATTTTCTTCAAACACATCTTTGAAAAAATCTCACCTCTCTCCTTTGTTATCTGGAACTTCTCATTTGTTCTTTCTGTCTCCCGGCTTCCTCTTCAAATCTGTGTCTTTTCCTGTTAAAGGGGTCAAGCCTGAATGTGCTTTAGATGGTACATCAATGGAACTGGAATTTTCTCAACTGGAAGACTTTCTTGACAGCTTTATGAGTAGGTCTTATGCCATGACAAACTGCTCCAAAAAAATCTCTGCTTTCACCACCTACATTGTACTAATTGCACCAAATATTAAACCAATTAAATTTGAGAGGCACCAGAAGCCTGGACATTTTGCATTCATGCTATATTATACATGTTTTTTAAATATTAATATTTGCCCTGATGCCACAAATGTTATGGACTCCCATAACACTGGTCCAGGAAAACAATTCTTGGTGAAATGGTGAATACAATATGAGAGTCTGAGAGAGAAAGCCTGACTTAGAGTTGGATGATTCTATTGTCTTCCTGACCCATTCTCCTTTTACTCCACTCCTGTTCCTCCAAGCACACATATAATATCCTCCAATTAAAACAATAACATTACACACAGAGAAAGAAACCTAACCCCACATCGTTTTTAATCGTAGACTTCTAACTAGAAAGGGGTGTTGACACTAATGGACCAGACTAGATTCTTCTGCTTGAGGGAATATCACCTTATCCAAGGGTTAGAACTTGCCCATGGCTACCTCAGCTATTCAGTGAGGAATTTTGATTTGACTTATCTGACTTCAGAACCCTTGTTTTCAGAACTACATTATTCTACATTCTCTGAATTGAATTTCTTACCTAATTTCTGTTCTTTTTCTTTTTTGTATGTTTTAGTGGCATTTTCAACACTGGACTTAGAGTATTCCCTGATCTAACTAAAGTTTATTCCACTGATGTATTCTTTATACTGTAAGTATACCCATGCAACATTTGCAACATTTTGTAAATGGGTACTGATGGGGGTCAGTTAAAGTCAAGTGGAGCAACCATCTCAAGGAGGAAGTAATGGCTAGCTATGCCAAAAGCATTAATGGATGGAGTGATGTAAGAACTGGGCTTAGTAATGTGACACATTGGTGATTCTAACAGGAACTGTTTCAATGGAGGGCTGGAAATGGAGAAATCTACTAGAAGTAGGCTGAAGAGACAATCAGAGTGGGGATTTTAGAGAGTGTGACCATAACAAATGCTTTCAAGAAGATTTACTATTAAAAAACAGAATGGAATATTCAGCAATGAAACAGATAAACTCATGCCATTTTACGGCAACATGTATAGAGCTGGAAGGGATTATGCTCAGTGAAATAAGTCAAAAGGAAAAAGAAAAGTATTGTATGGTAATTAATATAGGGAAATCAAATAAAGGATCAGGATAAGAAACAGGAACAATAATAAATTAAAAACAACAGTAACAGGCAACTAGAAATCAGAAACATTTTGCAGGTGAGGGGCAGGGGAAGGGAGCAAAACAAAGGAAGAAAGAGCACAAGAGACTATGGTGATGGCGCACATGTGAACTGGTGATTGGAATTTCATGGGAACTACACCTGAGAGGAGAAAGCAAACTGTGTATAAAAAAATGAATAATAATGTAATATACATATAAATAAATTAATGAGTTAATAAAAGGAGCAGAAATCATCTTAAAAGATATTTGGTCAGAGCTTTCCCTGGTAATGCAATGAGTTCAAGCACCGTATTATGAAGTTCTCTGAAGCTGCTGCAGCATGAGTTCAAT